CAATTTTCAGAAACCATTGAAACGTAAAGATAATAACCGAAATTAATATTTTGACTTTCGTGCTAAAGTATCTAGATATAGCTTGTGGGTCAAGTTTTTAGATGTGGTGTTGGTAAAGAATGGAAAAAGGGATGGTGTGAATTAAAACTAGTGGTGTATGGCATCGTGCCATACGGGCAAATTGCTGAAACTTTCCTTTTAAAATATTTTGGGAATCTTGGAAATTTAAATTTTTTTTTCAAAGCAATCGCACTGCCATAGCAGTATAGAGACAAAATATCGAAGCGCGTAAGCGCCGATGCCACGGAACGCATTTAAATGTAAACAAAATTGATACACATTACGTATTTTTTTTACCTGCTATACCTGCCTTTCGAAAAATTTAATCAGTTTTTCACCTTGCCAATATAAGTAAAGAATTATAAAAATCGAACGTTCCGCTCTCTTAAAAACCGAGTTACCGTTTTTGGCACTTTTTGTCGCGTATCTTCGGAACGGCTAGACCTGCCTTTGCCAAAAACTAATCAGCACGCCTTCTTATCAATACGAACCGAATGTTCTTTGAAATACTCAAATTATTTGATCCGTGTACCCGAAATTGTCGACGAAAATTTGTATCCGTATACACACACTCATACATCCATTTTTTCTTATGTATGTCACAATGTTCAGAAACCATTGAAACGTAAAGATATATAAAAATTGTCATCTTCGGTTTTTTTTGCGATTACTATAACTTACCTTAAGGGAAGTTAATAAAGCTAGTTCGAACCATATTAAAAATAGACAGTTAAAATAGAAGTACTACGATGAATAATGTCATTGAACACCTTTAGCGAATGAAGAAAATACATGAAGCTTATAAATGCAAAAAGAGGTGCTCTTTTATACTGATCTGCCTTCGGACAGAACGTCAATAATTATAGCACAAACTTTGGCAGTTTTCAACCGAACAACTTACCATAATAGTTATCAGAACTTTCGAAAAGTATTTATTTAATAAGCTAAATATATTTACATCGGTAATACAATCGCAAAAAACTTGGCAAAACTGTAGGTGCGGTGTAGCGCATAGAAAATAACAAGCAAAGTAATCATACGGAATACCTATTTAAGGAGCCCGAGTGTACGCAATAAGCAGAATGCATCGTATTTATGCAACTGCACAGGAACTTCAATTACAGGAGTACCAAAGTACACTTTAAAGTAAAGTTGTATCATTAATAACCAAACATTTTGCAAAGAGTAATATATGCATCCTTCGCAGTAGCATAGCACACAGTCGAAAACTTTACCCCGATGAACAGTATACATTGTAATTGGGTTATAAATGAGCGGGTTTAATATGAATAACATGATTTCGCAAATGTCTGCTCTGGCTAAGATTGTCACTGTAAACGTAATGAAGATAAAATAAACATAAAAGTTACTAAGGTAATAATTTTCTTTGTTCGCAGGAACGCTAAGATTTACAGGGAGAGATGTTGCGTGGTTGTTGTTTTCTCTTACAAACGCCTGTTGCCGACCAGCTTGTTAATCACTTTTTACATTATTAATCCCAGTTAATAAACAATTAACAGTGATTGATGAATATACTCGTCATTTAGATATGGCGGAATTTTGTGTTTTGACGAGTATATTCTTCACGCATATAAAATAACAAATAAGTGATGATTTGCTATTAGGATTAGATTTAGCTATTTAAATTTGATTTCCACCAAAAACTAATCAACGCTATTTCCAAATGATATCTTGTACACAAACTTATAAGTACATGTAACTGTATTAATATAGTTTAATTAATTTATTCATAATTTATAATCTAACTCTTGTAGCTGTGGACTGCATTAAACAACTATTTGTTTGTATATTATGTATTTGTTGCAGTTCTTATTACAATCACTGATTTGTCAGTAAGTTATATAGGAAGAATATATATATATATATATATATATATATATATATATATATATTATTATTATCAAACATATTGTTTCGTTTAGTTCCATTAAAACACTCCTCTACCCCCTCTACCAGGTAGCAACCATTCCGTGTAAAGCTCAATGCCATGAAGATTGTCACCTTCGTGGCCAATATAATAAAACGAAAATACGTTCGAGAACATTATAGTTATTCTTGTTAGGAAAATGTATTTTATTTAACCCTTTCCACGCGTACATAGCAATGGTACAACGTATTTTTTGGTTCGAAAGGGTTAATATATCTATATTGCTTGTAACGCTGAATACATATATCTATATATCTTGTATAGTAAGAGTATGGAAGCTAGGGACTATTTGTAACAGGGATAACTAGTAACATGCCTCTTTCAATAGGATTCTAAACAATATTAAAATATTTATTTATCTCCATTGGACATGTGAACCGTCATGTAAAATATGGTTATAGCTATTGTCCCGCAGGCTGACGCAATAAACAGAACGGTGCAGGTCTGTCATTTTTGAGATGTTATATAAAATTCTGCTGTCATAAAATTTCTATCTGCGTTAATATTATCCACTAATTTCAAATTTTATACATCTTAATTTGCTTGAAATTTATCAATCTTTGCTAATGTGTAACATCTTTTGTGATTGCTAAAATTTACGAATAGTAAATTTTAGCGATCACAAAATTTTAGTTGATAAATGTAAAAAAATCACACCTGTGGTTAGTTGAAATAAATCTTTGGAGCTAGTTGTAACATAAAATTTTTTAATGCGGATTCAAATGAAGAAGATTTAATGGTATTAATGGTTTGTAAGATGTTGGCACATGTAAATTGTGACAAAGGAGACAATACTATATATTTTGTGATTATGATATTAATTATATTTCACTTTGATTTATGATAAAAATTCATATTACAGGAGACAATATACTTTATTTGTATTAATAAATTATAGTTTCACGCAGAAACAAGTCAATTTTATTAAAAATGAGTAAAGAATAAATTATCAGAGGCATTATGGTCGTTTTCTTGTCGTTATTATTTGCTCCGATAGATTTTACAACTGGCCCCAACCACGAGGTAAGTTGTAACACCGTACTTTTTCTAGAAATTGATTAATTGTGAAATAATGAAGAACATTTGTGGATATATTTCTACTTCGGTAGAGAATTAGTTACAGCAAATGACAATCTTTATTTCGTAGAGATTTATTCGGTGGATTTCAAGATATATTAATTAAAAAAAACTGTTGTAACAGCCGCTAGTTCCCATACTAATTTTAAACATTAATTAATATTCATAAACTACTTTTCATAGACCTATAATGTTTTATAATGTGTATATTATTTCACAGCAAGATTTTGAATTCTCACTTATATATTTATAATATTTAATTGAATTTATTTTTGGTTTTGTTTTAATACGTATGTGACATATGTTTTTTTTATTAACTTTCCGAAGGAGAAATTTCGATTTTCGCACAAGAATCCGATTTGCTAATGACTAGTTTCCAGTCATTCTGAAGAGACCAAATTTTGAAAAAAGTTAAAATTATGAAACTGGATTTTTTTGCAAAAACAATCTTTAGTAACTGCAGTGAAAGGACTATTATAATAGCTGGCTACACTATATTTTAAATGAAAAGAAAAAGTGAACAAATTACATAAATAAAAATTACTTATGGAATTTGAAAATTGTGCATCTTAAATAAAATTACGTATATGCGGAAATACTTATATGGGTTATTAAATATAAATGATTACATATAAAAACATAGATATGCATAAATGCATATGTATATATTTATATATTGCCGGACGTGTAATTAGAATCTGCATTTCCTATTTGATAGCTCTACAAAAATTATATAGTCTTTGCTATTTATTTATATTTATATATTTAAAAATAAAGTTAAAATTATGAAACTGGATTTTTTTGCAAAAACAATCTTTAGTAACTGCAGTGAAAGGACTATTATAATAGCTGGCTACACTATATTTTAAATGAAAAGAAAAAGTGAACAAATTACATAAATAAAAATTACTTATGGAATTTGAAAATTGTGCATCTTAAATAAAATTACGTATATGCGGAAATACTTATATGGGTTATTAAATATAAATGATTACATATAAAAACATAGATATGCATAAATGCATATGTATATATTTATATATTGCCGGACGTGTAATTAGAATCTGCATTTCCTATTTGATAGCTCTACAAAAATTATATAGTCTTTGCTATTTATTTATATTTATATATTTTAAAAATTAAATATATATATACAACCATTTCAAAATCGTTGGTGAAATTCCAAATACTTTACATTAAAATAAATATTACTGCTTGTTCTTAAATATTTTCATACACAATATTTAATTTATGAGCAACTCATTGTTGACCAAAAATACATAGAGTGAAAAATGAATATATAAAATCAGTCTTCTTCATTCAGTGTGCAAAATATTTTATAAGAGCAAACATCAGTTGTTAAGATATGTTATAAAAAAGTGTAAATTATTTGGTATCATAAATAATGAATTAAAACAATCAAAATGAAAGGATTTAAGACTTGTTTCTATACAGGTTTTAATAATTTATTTGGATGTGATAAAATGAATTTGAAAGCTATTCAATGAAAACGAATTCCAAAAACGTGCAGTGTGACACTCTAAAAAGTATTCATGTAAAATGCAAATATGCATAATTAGCTGCTCGCCTAAATATTTAACAATAGGCGTTGCCCAAATTTGTATTCTGTGTTGTGTTCATATTTTTCTTGTTAGTAAGCATACAATTAATTAATCAGTCGTTATTTATAAATTTTAAGCCGTTGTTCGCATACCTGTAAATAAAGAATAAAAACACCTAACTCATTATTTGCAAAGAAATGTTTTTCGACGTCAATAAAGTGCATTAACACATCAGCAGCGTTGCACAAGTGTTTTAGATTTACAAGTGCAAATGTTTACAACCGATGTTAACATTTGGTGATTTTGGTTTACAATTGCAAATGATTATACCGAAAGTTAACATTGTCTAAAAAATGACAGTTTGGAAATCTTTAGTGTTTTTGTTAATTGTGAAAAAATCTTGTTGTTTCTTAGAACCTTTAGTGCAAGATGTTGCTGTCGACACATTTTCGGCAGCTCAGGATATTGAACAACGTCCTGTTGGTGGTGTTTCCTTAAACGACCCATTTCAGTTGATTAAGGAAACTCTTGTTACTCAAGCTCTCAATTTGGTGCAAGAAGATTATGGTATTTGATACGAATTTATTTAAGAAAATTAATAAACTAAGTTTAAGTGGAATATTTAATTCACCGAAGCAAAAATTTAAGTCTTCTTTCTTTAAGCCAGAAAATTTGATTCTCTAGTTGTAGGTTTTCGCCAAGTTTAAAATCATTCTGAATCGAATGACATCAAGTTTGGAAGTATGTGTGCATAAGTAAGCCGTTTTTCACCTTTTGTCGACATTTTCTCGAAAACCGGCTACACTGATTTCAAACATGCAAAAGTCATTTGGAGTAACTTGATAAGAACTCGCGATTATCTATTTTGCGCTACGATGGGTCAAGCAGTTTCTTTATGATCAGCAGAAATGTGCAAAATTATTCGTCCACGTCGTTTTTGGCAAAGATCCTTAATGGATTTTAAAAATTCAAAAACTAAAGATTTTGGGAAATTTGTTGATGAGTTTTATGGCAAGTTTCTTCGTAATTAATTGTTGAATTATTTTTTCAACGGATTTTATAAAACTTTTTTTGATGTTAGAGATTATGGTCTACTCTAAACAAGAATATTATGGGCCTACAAAAAGTGGTTACTTGTAGTTTCAAAAATAAATTAAAGTTTGGATTAATCGGCCGCGCTTTTAGAAAATATTCCGTGCATATATTATACTAGGATCTGTGTAGGTATTGTTTTGCAACGTATAATATTTAAACTATTCATTTTACAGCAACTCGGTATACTTATGAATTCCCCATAAATTAATCTATTAATTTCTTATTTCCACGATGGGGAAATGAGTGCAACTTGCCTTCAGGCAAAATTTTACTTACACCTAGTTTAATTATATTTTTTTTGTTAGTCAAGTTTATGCAATTTATCAATAATTTGCATTTTATTTTCACAAATCTAAGTATTATTTTTTATAGATTTGCATAGAAATCCCGATGAGGTATATGATTTTATAATTGTTGGCGCTGGTTCATCGGGTTCCGTCCTAGCAAGACGTTTATCTGAAATTTCAAGTTGGAAGATCTTAGTTATAGAAGCTGGTAAAGGAGAAATGTTATTAACTGAAGTTCCAGTATTAGCGGCTTATTTTCAAAAATCTCGTTATGATTGGGGACATAAAATGGAACCACAAGAAGGAGTTTGTTTAGGTAATCAATTAAAACTGTTACCGCAAATCATAACAATTACTTGAGTTTTCTCCTAAATCATGAAAACAGTAACACACAAATTCATTTTAACACAACAAGAAGTTACATAAAATAATGCAAATGTTTGAAATTTGAATTTAGATATAAATTGTATATAATTATAGGAATGGAAAATGAGCAATGTTATTGGCCACGAGGTAAAGCTGTAGGTGGAACTACTGTTCTCAACTATATGATTTTAAATCGAGGAAATCGAATAGACTACGATAGACTAGCTGCTGCAGGAAATCCTGGCTGGTCATACGAAGACGTGCTTCCATACTTTAAAAAATCTGAAACCGCAAAAATTGCTTATCGTGAAGATTATTACCATGGTTTTGATGGACCGTTAAGTGTCGAAGATGTTCCATATCGTACTCCAATCGTCCATAAATTTTTGGAAGGTGCTTTGGAACTTGGACACGATATTATTGATTATCATGGTAAAACTCAGTTTGGCTTTGGTTATGTACAAGCAACAATTAGAAATGGACGCAGATGTAGTACTGCTAAAGCTTTTTTGCACGATGTTAAGCGTCGTCCTAATTTACATATATTAACAAATACCAAAGCAACCAAAATTATTATAGATCCAGATTCCTTAGAGGCGATTGGTGTTGAATTTTTTAGAAATGGCAAAAATTTGAAAGCTTATGCTAGAAGAGAAGTTATTATATCAGCTGGAACGTATCATTCGCCTCAATTGTTAATGCTATCTGGCATTGGACCAAAAGAACATTTGGAAGAAATGGAAATTGAAGTTGTGAAGGATCTTCCTGTTGGACAAATAATGTATGATCATATTTGTTATCCCGGTTTATCTTTTACTGTTAATACAACACATTCAAGTCTAATTGTAAAACAAGCGGTACAACCTCAAAATGTTATATCCTGGCTAGGTGGTAAAGGCCAATTGACGATGATAGGTGGCGTTGAGGCCTTAGGATTTATTAAAACTAATAAAAGCCAAGAAACCGAAGATTATGCAGATATTGAGTTAATTTTTATTGGAGGCACAATGGCTTCAGACTACGGCACTGGAGTTAGTAGAGGAATGAGCGTAAAACAAGAAATATATGATGCTGTTTTTAAACCTATCGAAAACATTGATGCATGGACAGCATTTCCAATGCTTGTGCATCCAAATTCTAAAGGATACATGAAACTTCGAGATAAAGATCCTATGTCGTATCCATTATTGTATGGTAACTACTTCACAGATCCCAATAACCAAGACATTGATACCTTAGTTGAAGGTATTAAATATGTAATCAAGATCTCTAATACTGAAGCAATGCAAAGCATTGGCTCCAAAATAAACGAAAGGCCTTTACCGGGCTGTAGAAACATACCATTTGGTAGTGATGATTATTGGCGGTGTTGCGTCAGGCAATTGACAGCCACTTTGCATCATCAAGTTGCAACTTGCAAAATGGGACCTGCCAATGACCCCGAGGCTATAGTTGATAATAGGTTGCGTGTATATGGAATACGCAAACTGAGAGTGGCAGACAGCAGTATTCTTCCTAAGGAACCAACTGCTCATTCAAATGGACCAGCAATTATGATTGGAGAAAAAGCTTCAGATATGATAAAAGAAGATTGGCTAGAAACATAAATAGCGAGATGAGTTATATACAATAATAATAACAAAAATATTCTAACTTAAATTTGGTTGCTTATACAAATAAAATTACATATGTCATTTTTAAAAAATGTCAAAAGATTTAGAACGTGTTAAATATCTGTGATTTTTTTTATAAATTTGAATTTGCTATATTAAACATAAATGTTTTTTTTAATTATTTGTGAATACTTTGTTATTGTTATGGTTATTATTGTTACTCACTAGTATTACTTTAATATTATTGTTATTTTTTATTTTTTTCTTATGATTTGTTTATGTCACTTAATGTTTTTTCAAAGTTGTATCAAAAATTCTAATTTAAAAATTTCTAAGTGCATATCCATCCATAAATTAGTGAAGTATTAGGGAAATTTGGAGAATGGAAAACCACTTGAAATTTATTAAATTAGATAATATGAAAATATGAAAAAAATATTTTGCTGACTATAAAAATTATATGTAGTAAAATATTTTTGTTAAAAAATTTGAAACTTTTCTAAAGTTTACAATATTTCTGAAATTAGTGATCTCAATTGTAAATTGTAAGTGATAGCAATTTTGTAACTATTTTTTATTTTCGTGTATCAGTTTATCAGGCTAAATATTCCTGATACTTATAAATAACTCTTAAATTATATTATTCAATTAGTTTTGATCAAGTTGGTTATTTACACATGTCGGGAAGTTTATGCAACTTGCCTTAAGGCAAAATGACTGAATCACCTATCTTTGTTTATGGATGCCAATTTAATTTTTCATGTACGAATAAAAGTTCTAAGAAATATAGGGTAGAGCGGGAATTAAGTTCCGCAGGTAAAAAGATCCAACACCAAGATCTCAAAAACAAGTAAAGTTAGGAATTCTTCAACAATTATATTCGAAATTAGAGGGAAAAAGATGTGTAATGAGCAATCGCCTCAAATCAAGGGGCCATGTCTGACAATCTATAACTAAAGTATTTTCTTCCGTTATTGTTAGTTGTGAGCACTGTTATTTAGACTACGACACCTTAATTTAGTTTTTAAGAACTCCTAAGTTAATTTTTTATAAGATTTGATGTTAATTTTGAGTTGTTAGATTTAACAGATATTTTTATATAACCTCTATAATAGCCTACATGTGGGTGGGGTAAAGAGCGCCAACCGAATCTTTATTACCTTGGCAAAGGCTTGACCACTAAAAAATAGTGAATAAAAATGAAAATTCAGTTTAAAGGCAATTTTAAAAAAGTAAATTAAATTAATAGTTCTAACTTTACTGATGAAATGCATTGGTTGAATACTGTACCTATTATTTAGTAAAATTCTTTAAATTTAAAAATAGGACATTAGATTTGTTTGCTTCCTGGCTGTCCCATTTTACCCCACCTATGGGCTAAAAAAATAACAAATTTAAGAAAAACACTAAAAACAACACATTACTTTAATTAGGAAATAACTGGAAATTTTATTGAACATAGTTCGATAGTTGCTTATACACGTTATGTGTTTGAATATAGTTCATTTGGTTTAGACAAAATAATTGCTTAAAGTGAAATTGATACTTTGTGCCCCATCCTGACCTAATTACTATTTAATTCTTACATATATGTTGGTAAATCAAAACGCTACATATAAACAAAAAGATTTAATTTTAACAGGAAAGAAAATGAATTGGAAAATAATAAATATCAAGTCATTGGTTTCTAAAAATAGAAATCTATCTCGTAAAGAATACTCCATGTTTAAATTTTCAGGAACCTCCGATAAAAGTACGTTTCCTATTTTGCACATTCGTGTAATAAATTCGCCGGTTCTAAATGCTTCGAAATTGCTTCTCAATAAAATATGCACCAACCTCTTACGAGGAAAACTATCAAAAAGCTACTGCCTGCACGTGCATGGAGCCTTAAGTTTTTATTTTCATTCTAAATTATTTGCACGAATGCGTTCTAGGTATCTTTGTAGGCCATATAAAGAACAACATTATTTTGTAATAAATTTGTCGTAATTCCAAAACTTTTGTGTTGGTTGGTTTATGTATAAATACTATTATTATATGACATAATACAAACACAAAAGTTTATAATATTTTTTCATATCAATATATTTAATTCATTGATTGACAATCAATCAATCGACTATATTATATCAATATATTTAATTTATTGATTATATTATTAAGATATTTAATTGAATATATTATTTATAAGAAAATATTATCTAAAATAATTCCAATGAAATTAGCCATTTTAGAAATATTTGAATTGAATTAAGTAGAATTTAAAATATCAATAGTATCAATAACGTTAGAAGAGCTAAATTAGTAATATGTTTAACAAAACATAACATAATGATGATCAATTATTTTCTAAAATTAAAATGAACTTAAATTATAAATCCAAGAATCAGATTTTTTATGGTATTTTTAATTCAAATAATTATTGAAAAAATTATGTCAAAAATAGTGGAGTCAAAATAAAATATATTTGTCTATTTGTCACTTTTTATAGATACTATGATTTTAGCTTACTTTACAAAAAAGATATGTGTTTGTGTGAAGAAAACAATTGATACGGTGGAAAATAGATAAAAACGTCTATATTTGAGCCAAAAAATTTCGATTAAATTACAGAACGTTTTTTTACACTTTTACTACTATTCATCTATTTATTAAATTTTGGAGTTAATATCAATATATCATTACTAATCCATGCAAAGAAAACATTGCAACTATTCGAACAAAACTTATAGATTTTAGTTGAAACATTTAAAAAGCTTGTTACATATTTAACTTGATACAAGGTTTAGGATAAATGAAACTTTGTCACAAAATTAATCAAACTAGGTGTAAGTGGCATTTTGCCTCGAGGAACGTTGCATGATCTTTCCGACCTGTGCAAATAATCTACATTTATCAATAACAAATCATTATATTAATTTGTGTGTGATTTATAAGTATACTAAGATAATGTAAAGCGTTATAATGTGAGCAACTATAGAAGATTATTTAATTTTATACAAATTATCCAGACATGTTAGTTATTTTTGACAAATAGTTTAAATACTATGCATTATTGTAAAAAAACCAACACCTATACATAGAGTACTTTCCAAAAGAACTCTCGAATAATTCCAATTTCAATGAGTTATTACAACTAAACCACTTGTCGTAGGTCTCTAATATTTTAATGTGTTTATTAAAATCATGGCGACAAAACCAAAAACTATATTTACGTAAAAAGCTTCAATATAGGCGCATTTTTTTAAAATAATGAATTACGAAGAAACGATTCTAAAATCTTTGCCAAAAAGTAATGAACAGGATTCCCAAATTATATCTTTTGAATAATTTCTGAATTTTCAAGATCGATTTAGAGTTTTTAACGAAAGCGAACTAAAAAGTTAACGTTTAAAGAACTAACCAACACGAGTGCTTATCGATTTCACTCGAATGGCCTCTAAATTGTTGAAATTATTTCAACTGTTTTTTGAGAAAACATTGACAAAAGTTTGAACATTGGCTCACAAACATACACAAACTTTTTGAAAATTTAGTCTCAAACGATTCAGAATGACTTGTAACGTAGAGAAATATAATATGAGCAAGTTCTTCTTCTCCCTAGGAAAGTTAATAAAATCCAAATACTCATTTTTTTTTCTAGTGCAAAAAATCTAAATCTTTAACAGATTTAGATTATTGAAAATCTACAAGAAATTAATAGTTACTTCATATTTATTTGTAAAATTTAAGCCACTTACCTTGTGTTTATGCATATCGCAAGTTGGACTATTTTAAATTCCTGTTTCATTTTAACATATTTTATTTTTAGATTTTTTTCAGGGAAACAAGAGGAAACCATAGAGAATTAGCGATAAAATTCCAATAAACAGAAAACTGGGCTATAAATGAAAAATAATTTTAAATTTTTAAATGAAATCAGAAAGAAAAGAGAGTACCTACTTTAAATCCAGAAAATCTTTGTTGCGACAAAATGCAAATATTTTCACTGCGCCATATTGTTGTACAGTGTACACAATCTTTTCCTCTATGAGAATAAAATTTCTTAATTTGTACCGTTGTGATTACACGAAATTCAACACATTTCCTGTATAATTCACAAGTGGCATCAAAGCGACGTAAAATAAAACACGAGCGATGAAATCTAGTCCCTTTGTGCTTCTGGGCTCCTTCCTTGGGTTATATGTCTTCATTAGAGTAATTTGCAGTTGTTTCAAGGAGCCGAACCGACGAGAATTGTTGTGTTGCATGTGCCAAAGAACTTTTGTTTGTTCCTTAGTGGACCAACTTTTATTTTAACTACGAGTAAAAATGATAAAACTAATTTTAGGATAATATGAAAACTTTCTCAATGTACACAGTAATAGAAATTGCTCAAATTGTTTGGATTTTTTAACATTGTTAGATTTAACGTATTTGTCCTTCTTTAAGTGCTATACTATTGTCAAAACACGTTTGACAATTTTTGTGCAATGAAGAATTGTAAAGTCTATAAACTGAGGGGCCAATTTTCCGATAAAATAGACCGTAATTACCGTTGTTAGGGCAACGATATGTTTCAGTCCTTTCTCATATTAATTGGTAGTAAAAACTGCCAAAATGCTATATGTATGCTGTGGGATCAGGCGTTTTACACGTAAAATCTAACTTTATGTATGTGTTATCATGACAAATCAGAAAGATGCAATCATGATAAGATTCTTTTTTGACGTTTGTGCGTTTGCTTGGTTAGGTTCTATTTCTAAAACGCCTGACTGCACTGAACTTTACTATCAATTTATATGAAGAAAGCGTTGCCATAACAATGCTATGTTACAGTCTATTTTATCGGAGAATTGGCCTATGAGTGAATGTACTGTGCATTTCAATAGTTTTCAATAATCATATTTATTGCGCACATTGTTGATTTATTTAAATGCCTGTTATTAAATGGAAGTATTTTAATAGAAATTAATGGGGTGTATGGCATCGTGCCTTAAGGCAAATTGCTG